CCTGCGTCTATCAGTAATTGAAATACTACTGACACACAAAGTAGTTCGAAATAGTTTGATATTTCCATTGTGGTTTCTTGATATTCCCTTTTTCAAGTTTTTGAAAAACTCACTGTGTTTAACAAATACAGAGTTCACAGGTGCACACATAAACGCCTTCAAATAAATTGAACTGAACCGAAAAAACCAGTGTAATTTCATCCGAGCACTTTTACTGATAAAGACAAGGAACACTGAAATCTTTGTCGGGCTTGTCTGGTTGGCATCACACAGCTTTGCATTGAGTTTATGTGGAGCATTGATCACGTAAATCAAACGATCTCACCATTTAAGATAACAGGCTCGATACTTATATTACCAATTTCAGAGTGAGAAACGCGGGCTCCGTTGCTCCGGTAGTACCATCACCTAAACCCGGTGCTAATTGTTATCCTTTGGAATAGAATTCGAACCTTGTTTTTACGCAAGCATCTGAATTGAAGCTATATCCGGCTGACAATGACAACTTATGCCTGATTTAGAAAAAAAATGCATGCAATTAGCAATCTCGTAAAATCTGAACTGGAATTTGTTTTTGACTATGACATATTACTCAAGTGGGGTCGTAATACCGATAATCGCGCGACAAAAGACACGCTTGGTATAAAATTACTAATAAATTTGCTCTCATATCTTCAATTATCTTTTTTATAAAACATGCGCAAGATACCCCTCCCTTACTAACTTAATGGCCACTTACGGCGTATTCATATTTGATACTCGAATTAAGACCAGCTTTCTGCTGTAAAATGTTTTCTAATTATGATATTTTTAAGACAATGAAATGCAGTTAATTCCTTCGTGTTCTTCATGAAGTGTGCAACATAATCCACAGCTATAACAAACTTTTATGACGAAATATCACATCTAAATGGCACAGATAAGTGTGCACTGTTCTCTACGCGGAAGGTGTGCAGCTCATGGACTGAACACACTGAAAGCTAATGTAAAGGCAGATAGTGTTCAAAATTATCCGGGAATTCGGAAATAATTTAAAACCTAAATATGTGCTTCATTCGAATATAAAATTTGAAGTGGACGTCATTTGCTCCTAAATAA